CCCTGGCCAGGCAGGATGAAGAGCGGACACCTCAGGAACTGCTAGTAAGATTAAAAGTTGATTTCAGAAAGCTGAAATCATATCTGAAATGATAGAAAATTTCATCGTTTGGAATTGGAAAAACGATGTAGAGTAGTTTTGCTATTATGTGAATAAGATAGAAGATGGTGAACGGGTGTCACCATAAGAATGTTAAAAAGATCTAATGACGTGATGATTACGTATAGAAGAATTCAAGGATAGTGCATCAGTGACAAGCGTATAAGATGTATATGTCAGAGCTTATGAGTTCGAAATGAAGGAATAACATTGTGTATAAGCAGAGCGTTTATGATAAGGGTTTGCAGTTAAGACGGAAAAGTTAGCGTTAGCTAACAAGAATATGCGATGGGAATGTACTGGAATTATAAGATTATAAGATATTGTCAGGATATGAAAACTAGATCTGCAATGGATCTGGATATAGTTGCATATTTGGATCATAGTAATGTGGTATAGTAAAGGAAAAGGAAGTAAGAATTTGATATTTAAGTAAAGCTGGAATTGATAAGAAGAGTTGAGAATGTGTATCGATGATCAGATTATAAGACACGAAGTCAGAATGTTGAGTTTGAGCAAAGAAATTTCAGGATATAAGAATAGAGGTGAAATTGATAGTTGAGTAAGCGAATTTTAAGATAATTTGGATTTGAAAGGAGTATGTGTTTAGTTGATTAGGGTTTGTACCCTAGATTTGAACATATGTTATTGACTAGCTGTCAGAGTAAAGGTGATAGAGTTATAAGACTGAAGGAAAAGACAAAGTGGAGTTAATTGATTATGATGTGAATTTGAATAGGATTGTATATTCTGAGCAGCTAACTATGATGTAGAAACTGAGATAAGTATTTGCATGGAACCTTCAGGAAGGAAAATACAAGTATAAGAAATGATAAAGAATGAAGTTATGTATAAGAAATGGGTTATTAAAGTAATGAGGATGCAATGAAGATTGGTACATAAGATGAGTATAAGTAATAAGACAAGAGTATGTGAACATGAAAGGAAATATATGATTAATGTATAAGGAATAAGGAATAAAGAAATGAAAGGGATTGATTTAAAGGATCATATACGATAAATATGGAAGTACAGAGGACAATTTTGATATGGAATAAGACCAGTGTGCAAGGTGATGTGAAAATATTGTTTGACTCCTTAAAGTATATGTTTAATCACATTGAAGAAGATTTAAAGTTGAGTTTGGTCAAATGATGACGACATACAAGTTTGGTATGGTTATAAGGTAATTAGAGAGTTATGAAGAAATAGATGGATTTATGATATAGAGATGGATGTTACTGTCAATGTGATGAGTGACATTATATGGAATTTTAGAAAGGTCAAAGGAAAAATGCATAGTCGAATGAGAGAAAAGACAACAATGGATTGGTATTACTGGTTATTGTTTATATGATAAGCAACAGAAGATGAATGTATAAACGAAAAAGATAGTTGGAAAACTTAAGGATTGAAAAGTAAGTTTCCGATGATGACAAGAAAGAATAAGTCAGGGAAGCAACATAAGAACATTGGAAGATATGTTCTTACTAAGATGTTCAGTGAAAATTCGAGGGCGAATTTTCTTATAAGGAGGGGAGATTTGTAACATCCCGAAAGCCGGGTCAGTGACTAAAATGTAAATTTGGGAAATTTAGTGCTCAATTTTGAAATAAGTTAAAAGTTTTGGGATTTAAGTAAAGAATTTTGATGATGGATTAAATCTAGATGGTAATTAAAGGGGCAATTTAGTCTTTCAGCTTAAAGAATATTTGTATTTTCTTTAAATACAAGTGATACACGTGGGTTTTGGGAGAGTTCTGGAAGCCTTCTTCTTACTCTCTTCTTCTTCTCGTAGCTCCAATTTAAAGGTAAGTTGGATTTTTAACTTTAACTGTTAATTTCTGGAATTTATAAGTTGGTTTTGAATCTTTGGGTATTAAATAAGCTTAAGGAAAGCTTATATAGGATTTAAACAATAAGATAAATGAATTATGAAGGAATTTACAATATGAGTTTTAAGATGGAATTTTGATAGGGTATGGTTGTTGAAGTTTATGGATGAATTTGACTTGTCATCAATCTAATTAAGAAGTATGAGGTGTTAGAATTGGAATTAGAACACATTGAAATTTGGTATGATTTTTGAATCTCGTATGGAATATAGGATTTGAGGTTTAAGATGAAATAAATGAATATAGATTGGTTTAAGTATGTGTACTAGAGTTAAGAATGAAAAGGAGATGAATATGAAGTGTTTGAGAGGAAATGAAGTAATTTTCGGGTTGAAAATATGATTTCTGGGCAAGGGGAATCGGTACCCATTCAAGGGGATCTGATACCCCTTCAAACGAACAAGAATTTCCAGTATGTCATAGGGGAACCGATACCCCCATGGGGAGGGAACCGATTCCCCCTAAAGGAAAATTGGGAATATGGATTTAATAAGTTCATTTAAATTGATAGTATCCAATTACAAGGTGTAGGTTCTATTGATTGTCTCGAATGTACATTTATGTAGATTCTACGCTAAAGAAATTCCGGAACGTTTGACAAGTAAGATCGATCAAGGGAAAGATAAGAGATTTGAATTGGCTAGTGAGGCCAGGTGAGTGCATATTAGTTAGTTTATTGTGCTAAATGGAAACAAGACTTGCGACAAGTCATTTCCTATGTTAGAATGCATGAATATATGATTATACGTATATGAATGACATGAATTGTATGTATGCATGAAATATGTATTGACATGCTTTTGAATGTAATGTTATGAGAAGTATGTGCTATATAATGTATATATATACATATGTGAAACTGAACTATGTGACTGCATGAGAAAGATATGAGCCATATATGATATAGGTGAACATGAGAAAGCAAAGTATGAGATATAAACTATGTGATCATAGTAAAATATAATTATATTATTATATGATAAGTGAAATAAGCTGATAATATGATCTATAGGATGAAGTGAGAATAGTACACTAACTAGGGATTTGAACATAAATGATAAGATGAACGTAAGATAAGCTAGATGGGAAAGATTCATAGGTTAAATAAAACTATAACACATGGTTGTATGATAGAAATTTATGAGGTATATGAGAAGATTATAGGAGTTATAGGAAATTGAATTAAGTAAACATATTAGATTATATATAGAGAAATAATAGAAGTGAGATATGTTTATAAGTCTGCCCTAGATGAATACGAAATATAAGAGTGCTATATGATTATATTAGGATAATCTTGAGGATATATATATAGATAGATATGAAATGAAATGAAATGAGTTATATGAATACACAATTATGTGATGAAATGGTGAATTACCTGAACATGTGAATATATATATATATATATATATATGTCTAAGAGAAGGCATAAGATTAAGATATAAGCAATGTGACTATAAGTATATGTGCTTTAAGTTATATGACTTATAAGTATTTCTATTATAATTTACATGATATGTTATGTATGTTAAAAGAATTATGTGATGGTATAAGAATGATAGGAAATATATATGTGAAAACAAGTATATGTTACGAGACAAAACTTATGATTATAAGCTACGTGAAAGTGTTCATATCTGTTATATGAATATATGATCATAGGTGAACAAGATATGATGAGCATGTGAATTATATGGAAATGATCTACGTGTAAGTGAACTACGTGACTATGTGATCATATGAAAAGAAGCTATGTGATAAGTGATATGTGAAAGTGAATTACAAGTTTATATGAATATTTGAAATGAATAAATGATAACGCCATGTTATGTGTCATGAGAGCTAGGGGTATAGTTGGCATGCCAAGAGTCGAGGGTCTACGCGGTTCTTAGGGACATATGTATATTCTTTGGAACATGTGTGAAGTCTGGAAAGACACATACTTGATCCCTAGCATATGTATATGATTCTTAAAGAATTCTATGTGGTCCTTATGGACATTATTATATGGCACTACGGTGCAAGTCTACGCGGTTCTTAGGGACATATGTATATTCTTTGGAACATGTGTGAAGTCTGGAAAGACACATACTTGATCCCTAGCATATGTATATGATTCTTAAAGAATTCTATGTGGTCCTTATGGACATTATTATATGGCACTACGGTGCAATTCTACGGGGCACTTCGGTGCATTTATACGAGCTGTGGTGACAGCATAGTGCACAACCTCTATAGACTCACATATCGATAGTTCTCACATATGTACATGGGCTAATCCAGAGATAGAACAAATATAAGTTAGTGGTATGATAAATGCTATAGAAATGATATGATGTGGTGTGTATAGTGTTGATTGAAAAAGTATGTGATTATATGATAACCTGTGAATGATGAATTATGTGTATGTATGTATTTACTGCGAAATCTGATATGATTATACGATATGAAAAATGCATGGAATTGCTATAACATGATAGAACAGAACATGCATGTATCAATATATGTTTTAAAGTGCATTATAAGTGGTTATGCCTCACTAAGTCTTCGACTTAGCGTGTGATTGTTTCACACGTAGGTTTCGAGAAGAGTAAGGAGGGATGCGGAGCAAGACAGGTCAGTTTTCCTTACCAAAAGATCAGATCAGAAATATTTGACAAAGTATGTATTGGTTATGTATAAAGTGTGGCATGTAATAAGTCATTAAGTACGAGCACTCTGATAAAGTCTTTATTGTGATTTAATAAAGTTTTAAATTTCCCGGTATTTTTTTTAAGAGTCAAGGTTTGAAAAGTTAATGTGACACTTCGGACTCGTATCCGGGTCGGATACGGGTTGGGGGTGTTACATATATAGAATACGGAGCGTACAAATTATTATAGTTCGCGTTCCCCTAAAATTTTTAAAGTTCTTATAAATTCTTGCGTTCATTCTAACGTATGTATACATACCATCGTATCGAATCAAAGACTCGGGCAGTCCATTGGGGCGCATCGTCTTTTCCTTGGCCCCTTCTGTATGCTTGCTTACCTCCACTTGCATTCTGGCAATTTATTCGTTCAGACAATAGAGAAATAATTAAGATTATATGAGAAGTGAAAACCAAGGTACCTAATAAAAGGATAAATGAGAAACTAACCCAATAAATTTCAAGACTTTTCCATTCTCGTCCTTAATGGGTGCAATCGTAAGAAGATTCCAAAAGGGAGTCCCATCTTTCTTGTAATTCAACAATCTCCCACAATAATTTTTCCCTGCCTGTAATGCCTCCCTAATCTTCACTATATCTTCCGGATCCGTACCCGCTCCCTGTAAAAAACCGACTGGATCCCCGACCCACCCACAATCAAAATGTCAATTTTACACCCCTCCATGACCGTTATTACAGTTAATACAAGCAAACTTAAAAGAAAAACTTGTTTTTTTTTACCAGTTCCTGCCCACGACCTCACTAGAAGTGTATCCGGTCATCCTGAAGAATCCGGCCCTTGCACACAAAATCGGTAATCGGGTTTGGTAGCATCCGAAACAACGAATGTCTGTTGAAACGTTGACAATGCTTCCTTTAAGCCTTGGGATACTCTTGGGAACCCTATCCTAGATGAATTCGTTATCGGAAAATTCGTCCGAGCTCCGAACGGAAGTATTAGAGTTCCTACGAGTATCCATTTTGATATTCGGGTCATCCCCACCCGAATTTCTAGCAACCACTCCGCGTGGTTTCCCAGTTTCATTATCGGTTTTCAGTACTAGTCCCCATTCTGCAGCTCTCTTCGCAGCCTCTCCAGCTTCCTCCGAAGGCTTCGGACTGGCCGCTACGCCGTGGTTTCGGTCATTATCCTCGGTGGTCTCATGAAAAAGTTGTGATGGTGGCGGTGGAGATGGAGCAAGCGGTGGTGGCTCGCCGACTCTGATACTAGCTGGAAACGGTCAGCTTTTTCGTGGCTACCACCTGGCTCTCCCAAGTTTTGCCAAGGGGATTGCGACGGGTTAATGGGTCGGGTCGAGAAAGTTGATGGATTGAACACTTCAAGTGAGCCTCTGGAATCCCTCGGCAATGGTGGGATCGATTTTGATTGCTTGGCTGAGTTTTCCTTCGGGTCCATATTATCTGCAAAAATTTCAAAACCAAGTCTAGTGATCTATAGATACAGTATACAGGAAAGCATGAAACTTGAAAAAGAAGCAAACCACATCCTAATTCATATCCATACAAATATGCTTAAAAGGAATCCAGTACGTTTTTAGCAGAGTTGAAAATTTTATGGCTTCACTTATGTCGCATATGCCAATGTTTCATCAACATCAGTTGTGGGACATTGACATGAACTTGACTAAGAAGTAGGAACTGAAATTATTTGAGAGATGATAAAAAGAATTTAATAATAAAAGTCAGTTTTGTTTCATTTAACTCCTGTTAGCTCTGAGTTGTGGTGACTGCAAAACCGATTGAGAGCCTCTTATATTTTGGGGGATAACTTGAACTGTTCATGATAGTGAAAGGAGTAATGAATTAATTTCAGTTTCACAGAAAATGAACACTTGCAACTGTAAGATTCGGGGGGGACCCAGAATCTTTGAAAGTAAGGACTATGTGGTAGAAGCAGAAGCTAACCTCAAGTGAATTCAGATGGCACAATCATGGAAACAGTTCTTTTAAGACGAAACACAAGATTTTCTTTTTCATATCTATCATAATTTTGTAGATATTTAGGTGGCGTTTGGTTCGCTAGAATATTTATGAGAGAATTAGAATTTGTGAAGGAATTGGAATCTGTTGGAATTGGAATTCAATCTCATATTCTGTTTGGTTGACAGGAAATCGAATTAGAATCCAATTCTATATTCTGTTTGGTTCGCACACATGTCAGATGAATTTGATATCAGTAATGTAAAATGACAGAATTGCCCTTCTTATTTTTTTATTTTATTTTAGTTTATTTTACAACTTACATATAGTAATATATTATAAAAAATTAAAAAATATTAAAGTTTCATTTTATTGATTGATTATTCATTTCAATAAATTATAAAAATCATGCTAATAAACATTATAAGTTAAAAACATCGTAATCAAAATATGTTAATAAGTTATCAAAAGATAGAGCAATATTTTGATACATTCCAATCGGAGTATGTTAATTAGTTACCAAAAAATATACCAAAAACTAATTTTATTCAATATATGAATTAGAAACTCGACACGACACGACTCAAAATAATAAAAAAAATATTTTTATTCAATAAAAACATTGACTTAATTGAAAAAAAATTATATATAGAGGGGTATTATTGTAATTATTCCTAAATATATAAGGTAAAATTATATATTTTTTTAGTGCCGGTCCGGTTTTTTCACCCTAAACCCGAACCCGACCCGACCTGACCCGAATATCACACTTAAAAAACCCAACCCGACTCGAACAAAATAAAGTTTCATCCGACCCGAATATATGAATTAGAAATCCGACCTGACCCGACCCGAAATAATAAAAAATTATTTTTATTTAATAAAAACAGTGACTTAATCCGACCCAACCCGAATTTTATATATTTTCGGACCGGTCCGGTTTTTTTCACCTTAAACCCGAACTCGACCCGACCCGAATATCACACTTAAAAAACTCGACCCGACCCGAACAAAATAAAGTTTCATCTGACCCGACCCGACCCGACCCGAAATAATAAAAAAATATTTTTATTTAATAAAAATAGTGACTTAATCCGACCCGACCTGAATTATATATATTTTGGGTCGGTTCGGTTTTTTTCACCCTAAACCCGAACCCAACCGACCCGAATATTACACTTATAAAAACCCGACCCGACCTTATCAAAATAAAGTTTCACCCGACCCGAACCGAATATATGAATTAGAAACCCGATCCGAAATAATAAAAAAAATATTTTTATTCAATATATGAATAAGTTACCAAATAATTGATGAGGGTAGTATGGTCAAATTTCAATTACCTCCAACAAATGAATTGAATTCTCTGAAATTGAATTCCATCAGGGATTTCAATTCCCTTAACAATTTTAAACCAAATATGAGAAAATTATGAAATTAAATTCTAATTTCCACAAATTCTAAGAGATTCTATCCAATCAAACGTTATTTTACAGTCTGAAAATGGGTTGTCAACAAAGAAAACAAATAACAACAAAAGTCTGAATGTCACGTTGACAGTTGCAGGATTTATATTGGGTGTGATGTGAGTTTGTTCACCGGGCAATGCCTTTCTTGGTGTCTCTCACTCTCACTCTCACTCTCACTCTCACTCTCACTCTCACTCTCACAAATAAAGCAGCCAAAAACAGAACCTTTAATTTCTCTCTAAACCAAATTCATAGCTCCAAAAGACTTGTCATCGAGCATATAATGAAATGATAACTTTTTATATAATTTTAGAGGCTTCACAAACGGACACATGGCACAGTTGGCTTCTAGTGTCTGAAATTTTTGTCATGAAAAGGATTTCGATTGAAACTATTCAACACGAAAAAGTTAACAAAGGGATGAGTATGAACTTTAGGGGATTGTCTTAGGGATTAATATACGGTTAATATACAGTGTTACCAGATATATTAAAAGATATTTAATAAATTCAGTTTAGCGTTATTGAAAATGTTGACTAATAATAATGTAGTAGGTCTAAGTCATAAAGAAATATTAAAAAATTGTGCAACCGGCAAACTTAACTTGTCGGTTCGTGTTGATCCAAATTAAAAATGTGTCGATTCAAAAAGATATAACAGGTAAAACTATGACAAAACCGGTATTGAAATGATAAAACCGGTAAAGCGCTACCGGATACATTTAAAGTGTCGGTACTTTAATATAAGGATCGACACTTCGTGAATTTAAAAGAGAAGCAGTTTTAAATCCTATAAAGTGTCGATACTTTTAAAAAATATATCGATCCAAAACGATATACCAGGTAAAAATATGATAAAACCGGTATCAAAATGATAAAACCGGTAAAACGTTACCGGATATATTGAAAGTGTCGATACTTTATATAAGGATCGAAACTTTGTGAATTTAAAAGAGAAGCAGTTTTAGCGCCTATAATGTGTCGATACTTTAAAAAAATATATCGATCCACAACGATATAACAGGTAAAAATATGATAAAACCGGTATCAAAATGATAAAACCGGTAAAACGATACCAGATATATTGAAAGTGTCGATACTTTCGTAAGTATGTGTAATAAATTATCGACACTTTCAAAGAAATAGGTAATTATCCTTTCGAAAGTATCGACACCTGACATAAAAGTATCGACACTTTTGTATTTGTATCGACTAAATATAAATAACATATCCGATGAAAATATAAAGGCCATATCTAAATATCCTCTGAAAATCGATAGAACGGACGAGTTTTTGAAATCGAAGCGTAATTGTTGCTGTATTTCAGAAGGCGTTTCTAAAGCGATGTTTGTTTGTTTGTTGATACAGTCGAATCGAAAAGTATGTTGTCGAAACCCTAGTTTTTTATTATTACAGTAATCGCGAATAGGGTTTTTATGTGTTGTTTGGGGTTTTGGAGTAAAGAAGCATTTGAGACCGATTGCAGGTAGAAAGTGATATTGAAGGTAAAATATAAATGTCGATACTTTTATTAAATATTATAGGTAGAAAATGATATTATAGGTTGTATAAATGTGCCGACACATTTTGTAGTGACCATTCAAATTCTTTTGAAGAAAACCATTTTACCACAAGAGTAGTTATCTATATTTGTATATTGAATAAAATGTATGTAACAAAATAATTTGATTTGCGTAAACTGATATATGAAGGAAAAATAGAGTCAATGGGTTGGAAAATTGTTGGTGGCGCAGATGACTTTGAAATTGAGGCCGAGACTCGAAAGCAACCAAAGGGTAGATATATGTACTTCTAGTAAGTATCAATGTCTTTTTGTTATTATTGTTGAAATGGTAATTGGATTAAAGTATCGATAAACTTTAAATTGATTACAAATTTTAAATGTTGACAGTATGGCCGAATGCAAAAGGATGAAGGAAGATGGCACACAGAGCGGTTCGGTATGTAAAATGAAATTGACATTGAGTAGTATTTAGTGTTAATGTATTGATTAAGAAACGTTTATGTTTAATATTAGGTGACAAAAGATGTGAGGTCCAAATGGAATTCAATGAGTGATGCTGAAAAGGAACCTTACATCACACAGTCAAGGAATGATAGTAAATAATACAAAGAACGGAGGAAAGCATATGAAATAAGGTATCATTAAACTTGTAAATACGTTGATACAAAATATATAAGAACTATAACATTATATATTGTTAAAAAATGTAGGAAGTGTCGACAAGATGCAGCATTAAAAGGGTGAATTCATTAATTAAACACCTTAAGGAGAAGGGTCAATTGAATGTGCTGGGAGAAATAGGTTTTGGATCGTTGGTAGGAGTAAGGGATCGACCTATTCGGAGGGAATTGTGTCGATCCTTGATGGCGCAATTTGATGTCAGACAATGTATTGCTAAGTATGGTGATTTTTCATTTCCTCTCGGGATCCCATGTGCTGCAGCCGTATTGGGGGTAGAAAATGAAGGCAAAAGTGTTGTAGAAGTCTGTAAGAGTAAGGATTGGAAAGCACTTGCCTCAAAATATGGTTTGAAGCAGAAGGTGACATATGCTGAAATTGAAGAGGAAATAAAAAGTGGATCTTACGTTGGGGATGAGCTGAAGGCCAGAGTTATATTATACCTTGTCGGTATCTTTCTTTGTCCAACGGGTTATACGTCAACGAACAAGGAACATATGAAGCTCATTTGCGATGAAGGCTTGAAGGGTGAATTAAATTGGGCTGAATATATCCATTCGAGATTGATTGAATCAATAATCACCTTTAAAAAATGCAGCCAGAGATACCTCAAAGGGTGCATAGCAATCTTAGAGGTAAATGAGTTGAAGAACTTTTTTGTGTTTTTATATAAAAATATAAATTTTATTATAAATGTAGGTTGCACTGTTCGATTTTTGGTCGGGCTGTGAGGCAGTGTCGGCTTATGAAAGAACCGGAGTGGCACGCATCCGTGCATGGGGGAAGGAAGAGGTGGTTAGAGTGATGGTGAAATTGAAGTTGGATAGAGCGAAGAAGCAAGAAAGGGTAATAAATGTAATTAAATAATATTAAGAATATAATCAATGTCTTAATATTGTAATTTAATTTTGAAGGTTATTGGCAATGATGTAGAGGAGGCAGTGGAGGCATGGGAGAAGAAAGGAGAGATGGTTGTATTGGGGGATGACGGTGAGTGGGACGACGGTAAGGGAAAACATAGTAACTTCGACATTTTGATGTCTGAATTGGATGATATCAAAAAAATCCAATTTGATATCATGC